TGATAGCCGACGTTTTCCAATATTTTGATTTAAATTTAGTATAGGCGTAATTATATTACGCTTTTCGATCATTAACGTTTTAACCTGGTTACTTGTTATTCCGTTTTATACTCCTCAATAGTTAACGCAACGGTGAGAATGCAATAATAAATGGGCGCCGTATAATTTGTTTCGATACTTGCGAAAACTATCGAAACTCCTGTGATATTGATTGCGGGAGCGTGAAGAAACGCACTTTTATACCCTACATTACGGTCCGTACGGAACTGCGAAACGACGACCGACGGAACTCTCGTATGCTCTCTCTCTCTCACTCCGCTGCGTGTGCCCGGTATTATTAAAACGATATTTTCTTCCGAGGGATCGTGAGGGCGGCGAGGAAAAGAATGAGACCAAAACGCTGCTGCACGACTCGGTCGGCGCGAGACTTTTCCGTTACGTTTAACTGACAAATCATGCGACGGCCTAGTATTGTACGATATTGTACGCGCTCGCGAATTCCTCCGCGGAAATGATTGAGATGAATGGTGCCACGTCGTCTCCACAAATGGTAAAAATCCCTCGCGATTTTAATATAACGTGTACGCACACGCACATGCGCGCGCGCACACACACACACACACACACACACACACACACACACACACACACACAAACATATGTATGTATAGAACGTATTATATTTGCGGCGATTTTTCACGAAATCATTCCGGGTCCGCGGATACCATCACACGCTCCGAATGGTTTTTACAGATGTGTGAATGCTGATAACAGATGACGCTGAGGCAATAAGCCGCCGATCGCTTTGATTGATGAAAAACCATTATTGCGGAGTGCATATCGCACGCGTTGCATCAGCCCGCCCATCGCCGCAGAGTCGTTGACGCGTTTCACTGCTACGCGGGTGTGCCGCACGGCAAAAAAAAAAAAAAGTAAAGAGTAACGTTTTGAATACAATTTTCCGGTACGAACGAGTTGAAGGATTCGTGTAGCCGGTAAACCGACGGCAAAATCACGTTTGTTCGAAAAAAAAACCATCGTCCTGTTTCCCGTCCCGGCGAGTCGTACAACTCGAATTCACTCCCCTGAGTCCTGACAGCTCTCGCGAATCTCCCGTCAAGGTGTCTCACGAACGATTATTATAATCGTTTAGCGTTTTGTGTTTTCGGCGGCAATTTTTTACCAGAACGTTTGATTTGTGGAAGAAAAAAATAACAACAATAAGCTTAACCGGAACGACGCGCCCCGCAGAGCCCCGGAGTCGAAAATAACGTTTACACGTGTTTTCGCGCGCGACCGAGTGCATACCACTTGGGAACGAATGATGCGAAATATTCGCAGTACAAAAGAAAAAAAAAACGATATACGACTAACTACACCGGTTAGTGTATTATAAATTATGATCGAACGTGTTTCGAAACATCCGTACGCAAGAACGGATTGATTTGATGGAATTTGAATTCCGAAGGGTCCCGCGGAAGAGTGCCGTCATCGCGAGCAGTGCCGTAGCAAAAGGGGGGGGGGGGGTGGCCTAGAGGAGCCTACGCCCCAAAGGCAATTCCTGGGAGGGCACAAAAATAAAAATTTCAATTTAACTACTACTTAAAACTTACTACTTATAAGTAAAACTAATATCATGTATTTAAAAACATACATATGTAACTTATAAACATTATTTTGTTATATCTATGAATCAACTCATTATTGAGTATATTTGTATTTCAATAAGTTATTGATTCAAATAAAATTAACAAACGCTTACGTAATTATAGAAAAAAATTATTTATATTGTGTTTATAAAAAACATTCAGTTGTGTTTTTTTATGTATCAAAATACTTAAGGCTGCATTTTGAAGTTTCGCGCCCTGAGCGTAATATTTGGTTGCTACGGCCCTGATCACGAGACACGTATGTGGTCGGCACACACATATTGTGTTGGTGTAACCTCTGTGCCAGTGGCATATCTAGGGAGGGGTTAGGGGGTTATAACTCCCCTGGAACTGTTTTAATGTATGATTATTGTCTATTAATTATAATAAAAACACACAAAATTCAAAAAAATGTAATGTTACATTTTTTCTAACTCCCCCCCCCTCAAAAAAAAACAATTCTGTATACGGCACTGCTCCGTGCGCCTACGACCGTTTAGTATGACGCGAAAACCAAACGGGCTGAATGTGGACGGACAAGAATGCACCCGGTACGTTTTCGCGCGTCACATCGAAACGATCCTTTTGGAAACACTCGATTTAACGATAACGGTTGATGCACGATAACACTCGATGAACGTGCACACGGGTGTGTAACATAGGCAAAATATAAATACCGTAACAATGCGGCCGTGCATTATCCGCTAAGACCCAAGTGCAAACGGGTGACCAAGTGAGCGTGTGAGACGAACGCCGTCGGTGCGCATGACGCGATAAAATGATATATTCCATGCGCGTTTTGGAAGTATTATTCGGCGACGAACACCGACCGCGCGTGCGTAACGGGGGTGGCGGAGCTCACACGTTGATTATTCGTAGGTATCGAGGTGTGTACGGTATAATGTCTAATTTGTGCAGTCCAACGGGTGTCTAGTGCACCGTGTACACCTACCGGTGTTTCTCAAACTTTTTAACGTCGCAAACCTCAAAAATAAAACACTCGCCTTACGACCCCCTCCCCCTCCTAACAATTAAAATCGTTTAAGCTTTTTTCGAGAAAACAACCTTTAGTAAGACCAAAGTTGAGATGGGATGTAGAATAAATGACTAGTAGGAGGAGTAAACTGGAAGGATTCGACGATTAATATAGATGGTTTGGATAATGAGACGGGATGGTCCTAGCAGCCAGATAACCACCACGAAAAAAAAAAAACTTATATCTGTTTTATTAATTACAAAATATGTCAATAACCATTAAAGATTCGAAAAAACGAGTTTTTTGATTGCTAGATGATCGAATCAAAATGTATTTATAATATAAGCTAACTTTTTCATTTTTATCATTATGGCTAGATTTAAATTTTTAATTTTAGTGTAAATAAAATACTCTTTTTCAACATCGGCGTTGGATTATTTCTGACGGGTACCATCCTGGGTTCAGTAACGCTAGCTCGTACCGTCCGAGGACGCGAGGCAAGTAACTGTTGTAACCAAATTCAGGCTAAAAGATTTACAATGTACTCCCAACAAACGAGTATTTTTTCACATGCAATGTGAAACGAACCGAACGAATCGTTTGTCGGGGCCTAAAAAACGACACGAGAAGTCATTTAATTAGAACTTTGATTCAGAGGTAGATAACGAACTGCCGAAAGCTCTATGTCGTAAATATTTTAACACGCGATTTCCAGACTGGCCTATGTAAGACGTGTTACACATGATTATTGTCTAACGCGTGTGCGCGTTACGCGAGGAGGCACACGACGTAAGGTATCGCGCGGACAGGTGCGAACGAGAATCAAGAAATTATCTGTTGACATTCCTCGGGGCCGCTGCGATGGCGGGGCGGATTATCGCGCGCACATTGTTATTTATTTTCGATGCGCGTCCGCGCGGAACAGAATGTAACGCGCGTTACCGGTAGCCGCCGATGGTCCGGACACCCAGGGACCGCCCGCCGGGGGCAGATGATACCGACCGTAAAATTCGATCAGGGTTCGCACCTCGGCACCAGGGACGCGGGCGCATGGCCACAATGCGGCCACCGATCCCGCGGACATTTGGCGGTCGGATTGTGCGTGCACGTATTATGTGCACGGGGGCCGTTATGATGCGTTGTTCGTCGCCGGACGGCTCAATCCGTGTAAACCGCGCGCAGCCGTCGTCGGCCCGACGAATAGGTGGCGGATTTCACGGTTGATCGGGCGAACGAATTTTAATGAACCGAACGAGGGCGGTGTTTGTGATAAGCAGCGGTGTGCCCGTCCATGTGTGGTGGTGAAAACAAATCAGAGGATGGTACACTGCGAGCGCGTCCTGAAACACTGGGAATCGTTGCAGAACATCAATCACCCTTACTTTACTACTGCGATAACTCGTAGACACGCGATTGGAACGTATCGAAACGGAATTGCAAGATTGCACGACGAGTTTAAATTTTCGTGTTACGGAAGAGCGTTGTTCTTAGAAATACAATATTCAACAATGCTTAAACGGTTTCTCTCCCTCTCTCTGTATTTATTTTTAGTCATTTCGATTTCAACAGATAAACAAAAGTAACCGATGCTGTATGGCGTCGAAACAGCCGCATCCTTTATATGTTATATTTCGTTTCGTAGATTCCATGGCGCATTTATTACTGTTTATATATATATATATATATATTACTATTATTAGGTACCTATATAAGTACATATTATGTGTTCATGTACGTGTACGGAGAGGTGGTAATAGCAGAGTTTAAAAGGGATCGAGGCAGTAACAATCGAATTTTTTATACTTAAACTCTCTCTTTCACCCGGAGTCGAGGTGATCACACGGGGGCGGCCTACGAGCATTTCGGTCGCACGTATCTTACACGTACATTACTCGTAGGTACGCGCGCATATCGATCGTGCATGTGTGAAGCTAATCTCGCGGAGATCCCCTGCGGGGTCATCTGACACCTCGGCGACATTATATCCGTCGATTCGTCCCTCTAACAACTGTCAAAGTGACGTTTTTTCTTTCACCTCGCACCTTTTGTGTCCGTCGCGGCTGCGGCGGCGGCGAGTTTCCGTTGGTGGCAACCCGCGTTTCCGAGATATCGCAGTTTTTTTTTTTTTCTCTGCACAGATTATTCCCTCTCGTCACCATGTTTACTGTTATTTACCAGTATGTACATACATGTATATATACATATATACCTTTATATACTTTTGAGCGCGAGCGCGAAAATAAAAAAAGGGGATCAAAACAATAATAATAATAAAAAAAGAAACGTCTTTTTTTCCTCTCTCTCTCTCTCTCTCTCTCTCTTTCTCTCTCTCTTTATCTCGTCTCCTAGTTTCCTATATCATAGTTTTTACTCACCTCCCAGGCGAACCGCGAGTCCACAGGCTTCGGTCCCCACTTGCCTAGAAACGGTCCGTACTTGACGCCCTTAGGGAGTTGGGTCTTGGTCCACACTCCACCAGCACCGGCATTGCGCACTTCCAAGTTGTACGGCATGGCGGCCGCGTTGGCAGGGGACTCGAAAAAGTTGAAGCCGGCGTTCATACCGCTCGGGCTGATGATGCCACCGTCGCCGTCGTTGGCCGTCACCGATTCCTTTTTGCCATTGTTGTTGTCGCCGTTGCTGATTATGCTGCTACTCCTGCTCCTGCTCCGGCTCCTGTTGCCAACGCCTCCGCCACTACTGTCGCTGGACAACGAACGCTCGTCGTCGCTCCGACCCGCGTCTGTATCGCCACCACCGCCACCTCCATCGTCGCTACTGCCTGGGAAAACATAAACGTTTGCGTTTAATCACTATTTTTTCCGTTCGGTATTCGATTGACATTATAATAATATATTAAACTCATATCTTGAAATATAACATCGACACATACTAGGTATTTGGTATAAATATATATAAAATACAGTATAAACTTAAATAATGGAATACTGTTTAACTATATGTACACAGATCTGATGTGGAAATATCACGTTCAACATTTGTCCATCACATAACCTAAAAAATATCTCTACAGTTATTATACTTATATAATCCAATTTTTGGAAAATACACATCATGGACTGTGTTAATGTAAATTTCGATCATGTTAAACTATATTTTAACGGTTTCGATAAGTATGTTTTGTCCATGTAAAATATAGATTTAATATTTGTTATATAGGATCACCACGCGAAATTTGATAGTTTCGGAATATTGGTACTACTATTCGTTCAGTAATCATATAATTACATAGGTATTTAAATGCAATTTAGAAATTAGGAATTGAGAACGTGAACGAAAATATTTTATTTTATACTTAAAACTAATAATCAGAACGCGTAATTTACAACTATGGCATTTAAAAAATAGAAAATAAAAAATACAATTCTTATGTATTTATATGTTTTTTTCGAAAACGAATGATTAAAATAATATTAGAAATAATTATTAATATTTACAAGTTCGTATGGTTATTTTGATTTTTTTCAATATAAATCATTGTATTACTATACGAGTATACGATGTAAAAACGTAGTAAGGAAACATTTGTTTTCGTATATGCTGTTTGATAATTAGTTATAATCAGTTTTTATTTTAATTAAAAATGTTTCGTGTACTTATTTCCGATGCGTAAGTGCGTATATATAGTATGGATAGTTGAGAAAATAATTCGATATCGGTGTGTGGATTAGACGAGAACCAAAACGCTTCAAGTGATCAGAAGCGTCGTGTTCCACAGCATACATCGTTTTATTAGGTGTAGAGTAAATGCACAAAGGTTTGGAACGATTTTAATTTATAAAGAAGTAATTGTAAAAAACAATCGTTTCCGATTAAGTTTTTTCGTATAAATTCGTTACATCACATGTGTATTACGCCACATGTGGCTCGTGTGTCTGGTATACACCGCAAAACGTGTACTATTATGCTTGGATTTGAATGTCATGTGTAAACGCGCGAAAAGAACGTGTGAAACGACGATAGTCGTTGAACGTCACGTGAGAAGGAAACTTTACAACTAAGGAACGTAACTCTGGAAAAACATCACGAAATCACTGGCTGTAGGGAGACGCGTTTATCAGGACATTTGTGGTTCTTCGCCCTGTTCGCGCGTGATATCGTATCGACGACAAACAATCTATCTCCGTCTCGCGGGTTGTTTGTCGCACGTTCAAGGTCGACCGTACAAATATTTGTTCAAATCTTCCCTGCGCCGGTGCACCGGTATCGTGTCTGGTACTCGACTTGTCTGCGATACTGATGTTTATTACTCATTTGCGGTTCCACGGATTACGAGTACGAGGTCGAACGGCGCGGAGGGATGTGTTTTGTTTATTTGTTTAATTTTTTTCAACGGCCCGAACGTCCTCGAAGACATGATGTTTGGACACCGGTCGAGATTAAAAGACTACACGGACGAACACACACCGTCTGCCCCTTTTCTAATCGTGTAGTTTTCTATCTTATCACAGCCGACATACAACTTGGTTCCGAGGCAGGGTTGTGTAGATCGAGAAACACAATCACGACTGTAATAACGAAAATATTTTTTGTCACGCACGCGATAATATATTATTTCCGTGTACAGATCAAAATTGAAATTCATAAATGCCAGATATTAGACAGAAAAAAAAATTAAAGAAGAGTAAGGCAGTTAAAAACGATTTAGTATTTCTACGGTTGATTTTGATATACTTATGTGTGACCCCTATTATTTGATGCAAAAAAAAATATGTCATTCGTATACTCTTACGGTTATAATTTGGTGATTTAACTATTTACATATTATATTTATCTATGAAAACTTAAAATATTTTCAGTGACAACGATGACGTTTCGCGTGCACATTTATAGTACAACATTCAGCCGTGTAATACAGTATACACGTTTGTTCACAAAAAAAAAAAAAAATTCGGAAATAATTGTATGCCCCGTGAAAAATGGCAATGATGCATAATGCGAGCGATTGTAAATAATTGTTCTTAACTGTATTAGATTGCAATCGTGTGACGCATTCGATGACTAAATTACGATAAACGTTATCAAAAGTGTTTATGTTCATTACAGGTATCAACGAAATCGTAACGTTACCGCGAACTTAAAGATGCTGAATACGCTGCGTGTCGTATATCCAAATGCATGTGTACCGTTGCATTGCGACAACTGCTAATTGCAGTGATTATTATTTTTACGACGGCTATTACTTTACTCATTGAATAATAAAAAAATCACACTCGTTAATGGTGTTTTTACAATATTAAACTTTGCACATGATACGCGTATAATTGTACTGGTAAATAGGTATGCGAAACGAGTGTTCAATGGAAACCGGATAACACGACGATGAATGGAAATATTTTTGAATAAATAAATACGAGTAATCGATCGAACAACTTTATCGCCCGGGTATTTTTTAACAGTAGGTAATCGAACCGATACGAGGATATTTATTATTATTCCTTCGATCACCGGGAAGGCATTTGTGTAATTATAACGATTAGAAAATAACAATGCAATGCTCATTGGTTTTTTTTATTATTATTATTATTTTATTTTTTTTTTTAATTCACTATTTATTGTTTGTCAGACTTCTGTGCGGGTACGCACTGTGTGCGTATAACATTACATTATTACATTATTACGTATAGTAGGTACATACGCATATGCATGCGCGTGCACACGATTTACGTTAAATTATTGTTTTCGTTAAAAACGCGATAACACGTTTGCAACAGTAGTCGACACATGTGCGGTTTTGCAGCTCATGAATTTTTTTCTCTCGTTATCAACGATACAGATTTTTCGGGTTACAAATACGCTTATGCGTACAATAACATTATTGTACACGGTAAACGTAAAGACATACAGACACACTACTCGGCATTAAAATGATGACAACGACCGTATAATACGATTATACTCACAGTATATACACGCACGCAATTGTTTATAATACGTAAACACACACACACACACACACACACACACACACACACATACACACATATGTATATAGAGTTTTTATAAATGTGTTCGAACAACTATTGTTTATAGATAGATTACAATGGAATAGCATTAAATTATCGCTAAGCACGTGTTTTCATCAGAGCGATTCGACTATGTACCACGAAAAAATAAAAATAAAATAACGTAAAATTTATATTATCGTGCTTAAGTAGACGGGAGGGATACGGTTTTCGGTCTGGAAATGGATGCGATGTATCCGTACACAGTATTTTATGTTTTATGGTAGTTGACATTTTTCCAGCACGCGTTTGAACTTTACATTCTCCCGTCGTGACTATAATGACGTTTCGATGGGGTAAAATAATTATTAAAGTGTTAATTTTTTTTTTAATTTTTTTTTTTTTTCATCCCGATCCCGTGAAATATTGTTTTCAATATTTTGACGGATTTTTACGGTTCGCGTCCGTTACGCACGAGGGGACTACCACTCCTGGTGATAGGTACACCTATATACGTGAAATTGTCTCATATAAACCTGTTCGCAGTCTAAGAACCGTCGCAATTGTACATATTGCGCGTACAAGGGGGACAAAAATTGAGATGTACCTATACACATTGAGGTTTCACGGTATGAATGTACCCCCTAAAAAAAAGACACTTTTTTTTATAATACAACATTTAACACAAAATCTGAAATATATATATATATATATATATATAGTTATTGCAATAATTTTCACACGAATCGAGTATAAGTATACATAATTGTTTGTAAAAAATAACATACTTATACATAAAATATTGTAGAAATAGTCTCCACATAGAAATATGATAAATTATTATGAATAAAAAAATACAGTATTTTTGTTTGCAGTAAATTATAAAGTTATTGCAAATCACATTAAATATTGTAATATTCTTTTAAAAACGATTGTATACTTAAATTGTTTAAATAAAAGAAATAACTGTGGGCTTATATCATTCGTTTAGTATTAATACAGAATAGGATTTAAAATTTGACGCTAATTTAAATCGTTTTACAATTTATTTTAAAAAATGTTGTTTACTACGTATTATACACAATGAAATATCATTAATTTACAGCATGAACTATAGTCTACGAGTGGCATAATAATTTTAATTGTAAATGTTTATAAAAATTATTCACGTGATCTTATTCGTATAACAAGAGGCTAAAGTATATACTTTTTCGTACTGCACTATTAAGGATTTTGTCCGTATTCCCCTTTCAAACGTTAACATTAATGAGTAACACTGTTAAAATATTTAATATTTTCGATTTTACTGATACGTTCATCTTGGAATTTTAAAAACATATAAAATAATTTAATTAAAAAAAAATGAAAAATTAAAAACGAACACCATAATATGAGTGTAAATCAAAAAATCACAATACACTTTTTAATCTCGTATTACACAAAGTGTGTCGTACTGCACACGATTTCGGTCCCTGCGCATGATTGCATAAATATGTATAAATATACATTCAAACACCAATCTCATAATCATAATTTTTGAGATGGTATAGGTAGACATATTATATTAAATACATTGTACATGACCGTAAATACATAACTGTATTGGATAAACGTGTATAGTTAAATAATTGAACGATCTATACGTAAACAATTATAAAATATCGTTTTATAAAGACATTAACCGTATAATTAAGTACATACTTGTTGATACACACGTGTTAAACGGAACGTCATGAATGAAATAAGCGTTTGAGAATATTTTAATCGTTAATTAGCATAATATGTAGACGAGTGTTATCGATATGTAAAAACGTACTACTCTTTACAGCAACGATATCGCGTATACTTTGTTTGCGGCCGTGCGATAAAAGTTAACGACGTGAAATCGTAATCAGAAGCGTCGGGACGGGCTGCATGCGAAAACAACAGTACGCAGTAAATCGGTTGAAAACTTCGAGAGGTCGATGTTCGACCTATAATAACTTTACCAACAGATAATCTGCAACGTTGCTGAACGAACGAAGCTAACGATTTACGGATCACTGGTACGAGGTACACAGATTTCGACGCGTTACGGGGAAATATTTGCACGCACCGTGCACTGTAATGTAAATTGTATTGTTCTGTAGACTCACCTCGGCTCATGTCGCGGCGGGTCGACGACGAAACATGCACGGGTGTGCACTACGGCACGGAAGCGATGATGTCTTCCAGTCGACGGAACAGCGGAATCTTAGACGGACAGTTACTGCTCGACCCCGTGCGAGAGGGTCGGAGCGCGTTACGGTAAAAACGAATAGGTTTTTTTTTTTTTTTTTTTTCTTATCACGCGCGACAAAGATTACATGTACATGTACGTATGTATAAAAAAGTAGTTTTGCACAGTGGTCGGTCGGTCGGTAGCGCACGGCGGTAACAGTCAGCGCGTTGCGGCCCGACGGTAAAACATGATGATAATAGCAGCGGAACGGCTATAGCGACGAATGATGCGACCACGGGGTGCGTGCGCAGGATAGTGCGCCGAGGAAGAGGAGCGCCGGCGGTTGTTGCTGCGTTCACCAGACCGCGAACCGGATCGTCGCGATCGGACTGTTGACTGCCGCCGCCGCCTGCCCGGCGCACGAGATCGACGACGACGCCGAAGCTGTCCTGGGCGCGAGGCGTAGGGGGGACGGGCGCGCGTTGCGCACGCACGCGGGGACGACACGCCGCCGTGTGCATCGATATACGGCCTGCGTGCGCGTGTGTGCGCCCGTATACGCGTACGTGTGTACACGCGCGTAACTGGGCGGAGTCGATTCCGGAGACTGTGGGCGGGGCCAGCGCCCTGCCAGCTGCGAGCGGCGATTCCCCACCACACCTCGTCGGAGCCGCAGCCGCCGCTCATCCACGGCGCTCATCGCCGCTCATCGCCAACGCGCGCGGTCATCCGCGGCCGTCCTCGTGCCTAGCCCTGCGCCGACGTCGCGGGGTCTCTTCAAGCGGTGGCGGTGGCGGCGGCGGCGGTGCGGTGCACTCGCCGCCCGGCCCGAAGAAGAACGCGCCCGCGTCAACCGTATCCACCCACCCCCTAATGCCCCTGACTCGCCTACCCGGGTGCGTTTTCTTAGGCTCGCGCGTTGCTAATTGATACGATGTTGAAATCATATTCCGCGTACCACTACGCCCCAACCCGTCCTGTCTACGTGCGTGCTCCGTTAGTTTATTAATCCACACGATTTTATTTCGCCCGATCTTTTCTCGATCCAGGGACGAGAAATATTTATAAAAACAAATACCGTTCACCTGTGTCTGCCAAGGAAACGGTGTCCGGTGCGGTTTCGAATCATATTTTTTTTGCGGATATTACACTCGGCGAGCCGGAAATCCGTGTGAAACGGAGTGTTTATCGATTCGCGCGTAAACGAGACTTTAATGTGTTTATATTTTATAAAAATAACATTACCTATTATGTTTAGAAACTATTTTCCTGCGGCAATCGTATACACCCCGTGAGCGGTAAAATATTTGTAAGACTAATAATTGTATTACGTTGAAATTAATGACGGTTTTAATATGTATTTAAACGATAACGTAACAATATTTGTCCGTGTACGCGCGTTCACGTATTTTATCGGAAAATGATTTTGTCGTGTGTTTGAAAACTTATACTTTTCGGTAGTTGTACACTGTACAATATTATTGGTTTACGGTAGCTTTTTCCACCGCCGTATATATTACAAATTATTTCGAAACATTTTGTTCATTATGTTCGCACGCATACATACATTGTGTATATACATGTAGGTACTTACGTAAAACGTAATGAAAAATCGAACAAGTGGTTTTATATTGTTACGAACGTTACAAGTCTCTTTGACGAGAAAGTGAGAGAGAAACGAAAAGTTTAGTTAAAATAATTATAAACGATCGAGACCGAGCGACATCATAATTTTGCTAAATGATTTTGAATTGATTATTGTGTATAATAAATGCGATGTGGTAAAAAGCGAGTTCATTGGCCTAACTTGACGACAAATGATGACTAGTATTTATTATCTAATGGAATAAGGAAATCCAAAGAAATATTGTCACCGGTCGAAGAAATAAGATGGAAATAATATTAGGTCTGCACATTAACAAATACAATACGACGAAGTAATAAATAAAACGTTCTCGAACGAGGTTGATAAAAAAAATATTTTCCAATGTCGATATTTGTACAGACTTAAAAAAAAGTAATAAATTTATAAAATATCTAGGTTGATTTGAAAAATTAACCATTATTATGAAAAGATTGAAAGAATCCGTAGTTTGTGAAATCAATCTAAGTTTTTGATCATAGAAGAAGATAATATAACATACACAAAAATATAACATGAACTCGCACATAAACGTAAACTATCTTATAATACATAAAGTAGTTTTTTCTACATAGAATTTCGTCATAATCGAATCAGATCCTTTGAGTTTTGTCAATTATTCATTTATAGCAGGTATACGTTTATTATTATATACGACGTAATCCGCTCGGTACGTGCTACACCCGTAAATCCTAGTAGGGTGAGGACTGAGGCTTAACAGTTATTCAACTCAATTATGTTTTTTATTTTTCAGTTATATATCAAAACAAAACGAATTAAAGTTTGTCATTTTTATATCTTAACAACAACAAGCATTACACCTATTATACACTTAAAGTTTTTCTATAAACAATAAAATATCGTTGAAAACAACTATATACGGTCGTATCGATGTTAATACATAGTAGTAGCTAAACGTATACGATTTTATATGTATTGGTAACGTACACATATTATTGTAGTGTAATGTATGTGACGAATAAATATTACTCTATACAGCCATGAAAAACTTTTGTGACTGTAAAAATATTTTGATTAGCAATACTTTTTAACCGCAGAAAACGATAGGGTAATTTTTAAGTCGTCTATCAAAACATTAAACTGAACGCGTTTATTACCCGAGTTATATCGAAATACACGATGTACAGTTGCTGTAAGTATCAGTGCGTTTGAAAATAATCTTTGAAATAAATGTGGCAGTCGAGTTTTACAAGGGCATCAAAATAAATTATTTACTTATTATAGGCGTTCACATACTTTAATTTCAGGCAATGCTCATTAAAAACCAGAGCCTTAAATTATCTTTCAGAGCTTATTATTTTTAAAACTTTAATCGTTTGTTATCGAACTAAATTTTTTAAATTTTAAACAATCTATGACAATCAATTGCAACAGAAGTCTTACATTTCACTATCATATCATGATGAAATCATCTTGAAGAATTTTCTCAGTAATTATGATAATTTTTAGAAAAACGTGTCGTTTAATGAATATATATAATATAACATAATAATATATCGCTGCATCGCTCTCGTGTTCTGTGTTTCCTATACTCTGACTAATGTGCACCGTGCTCACATCTCAAAATGGATTATATAGTATTATTGTACACGTACATGAGATCGGACTTGAAAGTCAGTTGTGCGGAAGTAGGGGCATTGCTTCGGGGTTTCTAGTAATAACAATGTAACAGGCCCTAGGTCGATGGTTAAACGCCAGAGTTCGACGAAAAAGCCCATCGCCAGTGTGATCGCTTTGAAGACGCAGCCGAACCGTACTTACTCGCGTACTTACCACGCGTATAAGTTACGCGACAAACGAACGCGTACCCGTATCCACAGCAACGCGGTCGTACCGGACGCAAAAGGGTTGTCACGTCCCCGCGGCCAGACGAACGTACGGACGTTCGCGTCCGGAAATCTGATCGCGGGCCAGCGTAAGTGGGCCGGTCCCGGGTACGATGTACGTGTTTCGCTTTCCCACGAGGACGTGTCCGGGACGGCGTAATTGCGGGTCGCCGTCACTCGGGTGTTTTGCGCGCACTAAAATTATACGGTACGCGTTGTACGATTTCGGATGCGTGTCCTCCGGTGGACCTCACAGCCGTCCGCGTGACGCGGCGGCGGAGAACAACGAAAATCCGTTAGGGCCGGAAGTCGGGGCCACCGGAAGTCATCAGCGTGGTAATAACGCATCGCGGACGGTGCCCCGCGCGACTCCTGGGCGGCAATGACATGAGGGCAATTGTTTCCGGGGGACCGCCCGGCGCTTTCATACGTCAATCCGATTGCCGTCACCGTCTCCTCGTGCGCGCCCGGTACACGTGATCATAGACAATCGACGAGGACTCTGTTTTTTTTCTCTCCCCGTTTAACGCTCGTTCCGTATTATTGTCCGTATAGGTATGTGCCAATCCGTCGCTTTCGGTCCGCTGACGCTTCACGAGTGCCCCTCCCCCCCACACACACCCCATTCATCCCTTGCGAACGTCGGATATTACGATATTGCGGCAACTAGCCGATATTGTAGATATTGCACAACTTCGCGTCCGATACATGTTTCGATGGAAAGCGAGTCGCATGATCCCGGATTCGTTCTTACGAGATTGTTGAGACGTAACGTTGTAAAAGATGAATTTATATTTGTGTGTGAACTGAAAAAATGATGGATTGAGAATCTTGGTTTCAGAAAAGGAATCGTGGTCTTACCGCTTAAAAGCTTAAAGAAAAAAATAATCTTCTATCTTTTTTTTTTTTCTTTTTTTTGAAGATTATAAACATTATTCGATTCTTTAATACGACGCTGCGGAGAATTTTGAACTGCGTTCTTCTATTTCCCAATGAATCTATAATCTAAATATTTAATTTTTACAACTTATCAACATTATTATGCATATTAACTTTATTTCGTTTTATACAATTTTACTCGTTTATTGATCGATTTTATAGTTTTTATAGTTTCTGCTTAAATTTTCAATTAAATTTATACTATTTTGTATTAACTCAATGTATTATAACCATTCAAAAATTTTGTTGAGAGCTCATCGTTTTGAGACCATGAATTTACCACGTGAATACCACCAATATACGTTTGTAGAATACTTTTCGGTGCGAAAAGATTCAATCAGTGGTAGGTATAATATTTAATCATAATTTTATTAGCATTTATATAATATATGATGTTTTTACGATAGTAATAGAATTCGATACAATACATACTTAGTTAAGATTTTTTTTTTATTAATACATTTAATATGAACATTAACTGCGTTCATGTACAATAAACGTCAATTGTGTAAATGAAGCAGTTATAATATTCTATACGTTTCTTCTAGAGGGGATATCAACAAGTTTATAACTCCTTTCATTAGGCGTTTCAAGCGCAAGTCACGTAAATCTGTTTGTTTTGCATGTGCAACGTATATATCACTTGAACAACAAAACTTGGCGCATAAATTGAATTAAATCTCAATAGAATTAGTCAATCACTATTTGGCGAATTTATTTTTATTTTTTTTTGCCGTGGCAAGGGAAAGACATTGGAGATGAACGGAATTAGATATTTGAGCCGTTACACGACGTAAAGGGGAAAAAATAGAATTTACCGAAACGATAAGGTTCGGAGAGGCGATTCGTGCCTATAGGTAGGAAAAATAAAATCCCTTTCGGGCGGCGGTCCAGCGAACTGAAGATTCGTAGCGACGACGGCGGCGGCAGGCGTCGTGCGGTAAATCGCTAGCCGATCGATATTCGCGACCTTTTTGCCACGCCCTGGGCAGGCAAGCAGCT